ATATACAGGGCAAAATCAGAAAGGATCCCAAGCATACTGCTACATAGAATCATCCAATCTCAAGCAAGGCAGCAAGGCAGGAATTAAGAACAGTGGCTACAAGACAACCAGAAAATAATAAAACAGCAATAAGCTGTCCTTTTTTTAAAAAAATCATATTTATTTACTTTATCTTACGTGTATAACTGTTTTGTATGTATGTGTATCACATGTACAGTGCTCAGGACATCAGAAGAAGATGTTGGCTGCCCTGGAACTGGAATTATAGGTGGTTGTGAGCCACCATTTGGGTGCTAAGAACTGAACCAAGGTCGTCCAGAAGAGCAACAGGTGTTCTTACCAATCGAGTCATCTCTCCAGCCCAATAATCAGTTCCACTTATTACCTTAAACATAACAGATTCAAGTCTCCAATTCATGAAATAAAGTCACTAAATGGATTTCCAGAAAAGCTATCCAACTGTATGCTTCTTACAAGAGATTTACCTCACTTTACAGACTCAAAAACAAAACAAATCAGGGTAGTTCAACTTGCAACTGACAAAATATAAAAAGAGATAAAGAAGGACATTATACAATGACAAATAGGTTAATTCATCAAGCGAAATAAAATAGTTGTAAAACTATATGTATCCAACATCAAAGCTCCTCTAAATATATAAAATATTAAAGGATTTAAAGGCAGAAACAAACTGCAATATAATAGCAATGGCATCTCTAATACACAACACTTTCAATAATAAATAGATATTCAGATGGAAACTTAGTAAGAAAACACTGGATTTTGAATATCATTCTAGACCAAATGTACCCAATAGACACATGGAGTACTCCACCCAACAGCAGCAGAACACACACACACACACACACACACACACACACACACACACACACACACACACCCCTCTCCAGGGCAGGGCACATGCTAGGGCACAAATCAAAACTCAGCCATCTTATGGAGACATCTGTACACAAATGCTCCTGTACAGCAAACAAAACAGGAACCAATACTGTATGCAATATACCCAACAAGATATTAATGTCCAAAACATACAAGGAAAACTTCCAACTCCATAGCAAAATACACTTAATTAAAAGTGGGCAAAAGACTTAAGAACCTCAAAAACTGCATACAAATAACAATGGGTGTACAAAAAACTCACCAACATTGAAATACCTCCAAGAACTGCACCTCAGAAACACATCAGATATCATCTCACACCTGCTGGAAATCAATAATAATATGAAAAAATTCAACCCTTATACTTTGTTCATGGGAATGTAAAATGATGCAGCCTCTACTTAAAATAGTACAGAGAGTGCTCCAAAAACATTAAAAATGGAACCCATATGATTCAGCAATCTTACTATGCAGTATTTACCCAAAAGTTAAGAAATAGGGTCTCAAAGATAAACTAGCATTCCCCATTCACTACTACATACACTACTGATGTTCACTCAGTAGTTCACTACAACATACACTACTGACAGTGGCGAGAGCTGGAAACAACCCCGATGCTCACTCAGATGAGTGGGTGAAGACGTGGGACGACACATGTAAAAGAGCCTTCCCAAGAAGGCGATCCTACCATGTACAACACCAAAAGGTAAAGAGAGATGTCTCTTACCTTTTGTTACTCTTACATTTCTTCCTTTGAGTTTGAGTATTATGTGTCATGGCATGCTCTCCTTTGGGTTGAATTTGACTGATGGCATCTGTACCTCCTGTCCCTGAGCGATAGCATCATTTCCTTAACTTCTCTTTCTGGTCCTTCTTCCTCTTTCTACAGCTCCTATAATGTGAGTGTTTACTCTCCTAGTGATGTCCCATAATTCACACAGATGTTCTTTTTCATCCTTTTTTGCCTTTGCACAATTTCAAATGTCCTATCTTTCAACTTACTCTTTTTTTGTCCAGTAGAGTTGCCATTGAAGATTTTCATTAAGTTTTCTAGTTTGGTCATTGTATTTTAATTTCCAGTATTTCTTTTTTAAAAAGATTATCTCTGTTAGACATCCTAATTTTTTTCTGAATTGTTAACTGAATTTTATTTTATTTTTATAGTTCACTGAACATTTTTCTTAATGAGTGTTATTCTGAATTCAATTCTTGTAGATCTTCATTTCTTTGGGGTTCATTATTATAACCTGGCAGTTTCTTTTCAAAGTGCTCTGTTTTTCTTTCTTCGTTCCTTTCCTTTCCTTTCCTTTCCTTTCCTTTCCTTTCCTTTCCTTTCCTTTCCTTTCCTTTCCTTTCCTTTCCTTTCCTTTCCTTTCCTTTCCTT